TAGACTAGAGTCTAGTCACTAGACTATAGTCTAGTTCATAGAATAGAAAAATTTCTAGTTCATAGACTATAGCCTAGTTCATGGACTGAATTATAGTATAATTCATTGACTAGGCAATAGTCTAGTTCGTAGAATAGTACAGTAGTCTAGTTATATACTACACTAGAGATTAGTATATATGGACTCATGATGCGCATCCTGATATAGACTATAATATAGTCTAATTCATAGACTAGCTATAGTTTTGTTCATAGAGTAGACTATGGTCTAGTTCATATGCAAGTAATTAACTCTTTCACTCTCTCTGTCTATATTTGTGGATATTCAAATTAACTCCAAAAATTTGTTTGTTTAATACTTAAGCTCTTTTCGCTGTTACGCCTCGGATTGCTCATGCTACAGACACAATTTATCACATTAACACGATTTAAGTTCAACAAAACGAATACAATAAATATGTATATTATCGCATTCATTATTAAATAATTCCGAGTGCAATTGTACTTAATAATAGAATAATACGAATAAAAAATGTACCTACTGATAATAAATACATTACGTACATTATTTTTATAAAAGAACACCAATGACTGGTCATTTCGATTAAAGGAGACACACGTACTACTATCGGTTAATTACTTTTTAATAAAATATGCACTTAACTTTAAAATAAGAACTCGGAAGCACAATTTTAAAATAAACAAAAAGCACGTGGAAAACTTGATAAACAAATTGAGAGGGAAAATGATCAATAATTTTCAATATTGATTTTTTTTTTCTCTTTTAAATTTGCATTTCATGACTCTTGCAATGAAGGAAAATATATGTAAACAAATGGTATCTTTTGACGTAATATTAGTCCTATGTATGTGTATATTGTTGACACCGAGTGTCAAAAACCTTATATTTATGTAAAATTCATATATTTACATAATTACGCACAAAGTCATTTATGTAATTTATTATTTTATTTGTTTAGTTTTTATATTTCAAAGTTTTTACACTAATAAACCGTTATTTATTTCAATTTAAATGTGGCCAGTTAATGAATCAGTTAGTGCGATTATACTTAAGTACATTTAAGTACAAACTGCGTAAACTTTTAGAATGCCAGACATAGATAAAGAACGAAAACAATATTTCATAATTAACAGGCCAAGGCGACTATGTGATTAGCTATACTGGGTTCTTTACTAGACCATAGACCTTGAAATAGGTTATAATTTCATTTTTGAACTGAATTACAGTATAGTCTTTGAACTAGACTATAGTTTAGACAATACTATTGTCTAGTGTTTTACTAAATTCTAGTCTAGTAAGATTATATTATTAGTCTATGAACTAGCCTCTAGTATAGTCTACTTCATAGACTATAGTCCAGTCTAGACTATAGCCTCGTCTATGAATTATACTATACTATAGACTATAGTCTATTCTATGAACTAGACTATAGTCCAGTCTATGGACTAGCCGCTAGTATAGTCTACTTTATAGACTATAGTATAGTCTACTTTATAGACTATAGTCTAGTCTGCTTTATAGACTATAGTCCAGTCTATAAATAGACTATAGTCTAGTCTTTAAATAGACTATAGTCTATTCTATGAACTAGACTATAGTCTATTCTATGAACTAGACTATAGTCCAGTCTATGAACTAGACTATAGTCCAGTCTATGAACTAGACTGTAGCCTAAATAGTCCAGTCTATGAACTAGACTGTAGCCTAAATAGACTGTAGTCTATTCTAGGAACTTGACTATAGTCCAGTCTATGAACTAGCCTCAAGTCCAGTCTATGAACTAGACTATAGCCTAGTCTATGAACTAGACTATAGTCCAGTGTATGGTTCAGTCTGTGAACTAGACTATAGCCCAATCTATGAACTAGACTATAGTCCATCCTGTGATCTAGCCTATAGTCTATTCTATGAACTATTTTATGAACCAGACAATAGTCTATACTATGAACTACATATAGTATATTCCATGAACTAAACCTTAGTCTATTTTATGAGCTAGATTAGACTATAATAGTCCATTCTATGATAGATCTTTACAAAAGTACTATGCTAATGAGGATCTAGATATCTTCAGTTTAGATTCAAGAGTTCAATAAATTTACTCAAAAATGTGTTCTATGCTTAAACAAATCTATAATGTCTAGCGATAATACCGTTTAGTGATCAGTAGTACCGACAATGTATTAAGTATAAAATGAGAATGTATAACAATTCCGTTTTATTTTTGTAGTTCAATTATTACATTATAAAGTGAGAACAAAGTCTACATAAACAGATCTTGAAAATGTGTGTTTTTTTAATCAGTTAATTCTGTTATAATAGAACCAGCAAACATTTTAATACTATAAACATAAAAAAGGGCGATAGTTTATTATAAAAGTTAATCCAAAACTTTAAAATGGGAATGAAAAAAAAAAAAACGATTCTGTTATTAATTCACAGTAGTTTTATAAATTTTAGAAAACTTTGATGGGCACTAAATACAAATTGATCTGGTTAATTTCAGATAACTGCAATTTCCTCAAAGTCATTCTATGAAATCATACCTATCATGTTTGTTGGGTTATCTGATTGCACTTGTATTGTCTGTTGTACTTGGTTTAGTTTTAATAATACTCCCTGATAATTTGTTTGTTTGGGGAATACTGCCACTGCTCACTGCTTAATCGGTTGATATTTACATTGTGTAAACCACTGAGGACAATTGCGATCAGTTTCATTTTGTATTTCAATGTGAAAACATATGCCAAGTATTGATCTGTTGGTTTTTAAACAAAATATTATAATTTATTAAAAAATATATTAAAAAAAAAGTGTTTAAACAAAGAATAAGTAAATTATTAATTAAAACTATAAAGAAATATGGTGGAAAAACAATTGGATAGAAAAATTGCTTCCCCTGAAAAATGTGCTCAAAGTGGTAAGTTCATAAAAGTACCTAATATATAAAGAAACATGTTTTATTTATTATTTAAATTTGATATAATGGAATTTTTTTTTTTATTATTATTTAATAATAATTAAGCTGGCTTGAAATTTTATTGAAACCTTAAGAATCGTGATCAAAAAAAAATGTTCTATAGAATGTTTTCCAAAAAGTACAGATTAGTTGTAGAATGATAACCAATAATTTAGTGTTTTTGAAACAGCTGATGGCAAACAAAGTAATAATCCAAAAAGTTTATCCCTGTTCCTATTTTCAGATTTTGCCATAGACTAATATTCGGTATAAATCAGAAAAACTATGAAATATAATGATATTTTAATACGGAAACAATTTATTGTAAAAACTAACAATCTGGTATAATCTAAAATAAAGTATTTATATCGATACTTGTTGCTTGTTATATACTTGTACGATATTTCCTGGAAAAGTACATTAAATAAGGCTATTAACTTTATCAATTGATCTTATAAAAATACTTTAAGAAAACCCTTATGTATTAAGACCAATTAGATATTGATAATTGCTATCGTTTTCCGGTCAACCCTTTTCTCCATATAATAAAAGAAATTGCTTAAAACTGGTTTAATTTCATTATTCTTGAAGCGTGAAAAACGCAGTTAAATAGTTAGTTACATTTTAGATCAGTTCCAGTTCTGTTCCATTTGAGTTCCGGTTTAAGTTCCAATTAGTTCTATTTAAGACCTAGTAAAGTTATAGTTCAGTTCTACTTTAGTTCTAGTTCAGTTCAGTTCTAATTCAGTTCTAGTTCAGTTCTAGTTCACTTCTAGCTCAGTTCTGGTTTAGTTCTAGTTCAGTTCTTCTTCAGTTCTAATTCTAGTTTAGTTCAGTTCTAGTTCAATTCTAATTCTTTTCTAGTCCAGTTCTAGTTCAGTTCTAGTTCAGTTCTAGTTCAGTTCTAGTTCAGTTCTAGTTCAGTTCTAGTTCAGTTCTAGTTCAGTTCTAGTTCTAGTTCAGTTCTAGTTCAGTTCTAGTTCAGTTCTAGTTCAGTTCTAGTTCAGTTCTAGTTCAGTTCTAGTTCAGTTCTAGTTCAGTTCTAGTTCAGTTCTAGTTCAGTTCTAGTTCAGTTCTAGTTCAGTTCTAGTTCAGTTCTAGTTCAGTTCTAGTTCAGTTCTTGTTCAGTTCTAGTTCAGTTCTAGTTCAGTTCTAGTTCAGTTCTTGTTCAGTTCTAGTTCAGTTCTAATTCTGTTCTAGTCCAGTTCTAGTTCAGTTCTAGTTCAGTTCTAGTTCAGTTCTAGTTCAGTTCTAGTTCAGTTCTAGTTCAGTTCTAGTTCAGTTCTGGTTCAGTTCTAGTTCAGTTTTAGTTCAGTTCTAGTTCAGTTCTAGTTCAGTTCTGGTTCAGTTCTAGTTCAGTTCTAGTTCAGTTCTAGTTCAGTTCTAGTTCAGTTCTAGTTCAGTTCTAGTTCAGTTCTAGTTCAGTTCTAGTTCAGTTCTTGTTCAGTTCTAGTTCAATTCTAATTCTTTTCTAGTCCAGTTCTAGTTCAGTTCTAGTTCAGTTCTAGTTCAGTTCTAGTTCAGTTCTAGTTCAGTTCTAGTTCAGTTCTAGTTCAGTTCTAGTTCAGTTCTAGTTCAGTTCTAGTTCAGTTCTAGTTCAGTTCTAGTTCAGTTCTAGTTCAGTTCTAGTTCAGTTCTAGTTCAGTTCTAGTTCAGTTCTAGTTCAGTTCTAGTTCAGTTCTAGTTCAGTTCTAGTTCAGTTCTAGTTCAGTTCTAGTTCAGTTCTTGTTCAGTTCTAGTTCAATTCTAATTCTTTTCTAGTCCAGTTCTAGTTCAGTTCTAGTTCAGTTCTAGTTCAGTTCTAGTTCAGTTCTAGTTCAGTTCTAGTTCAGTTCTAGGTTCAGTTCTAGTTCAGTTCTAGTTCAGTTCTAGTTCAGTTCTAGTTCAGTTCTAGTTCAGTTCTAGTTCAGTTCTAGTTCAGTTCTAGTTCAGTTCTAGTTCAGTTCTAGTTCAGTTTCTAGTTCAGTTCTAGTTCAGTTCTAGTTCAGTTCTAGTTCAGTTCTAGTTCAGTTCTAGTTCGTTCTAGTTCAGTTCTAGTTCAGTTCTAGTTCAGTTCTAGTTCAGTTCTAGTTCAGTTCTAGTTCAGGTTCTAGTTCAGTTCTAGTTCTAGTTCAGTTCTAGTTCAGTTCTAGTTCAGTTCTAGTTCACTTCTAGTTTAGTTATCTAGTTCAGTTCTAGTTCAGTTCTAGTTCAGTTCTAGTTCAGTTCTAGTTCAGTTCTAGTTCAGTTCTAGTTCAGTTCTAGTTTAGTTCTAGTTAAGTTCTAGTTCAGTTCTAGTTCAGTTCTAGTTCAGTTCTAGTTAAGTTCTAGTTCAGTTCTAGTTCAGTTCTAGTTCAGTTCTGGTTCAGTTCTAGTTCAGTTTTAGTTCAGTTCTAGTTCAGTTCTAGTTCAGTTCTGGTTCAGTTCTAGTTCAGTTCTAGTTCAGTTCTAGTTCAGTTCTAGTTCAGTTCTAGTTCAGTTCTAGTTCAGTTCTAGTTCAGTTCTAGTTCAGTTCTAGTTCAGTTCTAGTTCAGTTCTAGTTCAGTTCTAGTTCAGTTCTAGTTCAGTTCTAGTTCAGTTCTAGTTCAGTTCTAGTTCAGTTCTAGTTCAGTTCTAGTTCAGTTCTAGTTCAGTTCTAGTTCAGTTCTAGTTCAGTTCTGATTCAGTTCTAGTTCTATTTCAGTTCTAGTTCAGTTCGATTTCATATCAGTCGCAAAATTATTAGGAACAGGTAAATATTATAAATAAATAAATTTCTAATCACTTTTGTAATCAGTCTTAAAATAATCTATAAATAATTTGTACCTACATATGTCTAGAAATGTAATAATAATGGTAATTTATAGATAACCCATTTATAGAGTAATGAAATGTTGATGAAAGGTTATCTACCATTTAAACAAATTGAAATTATCGTCATAAGAAGTTTATCAGAAATTTACATAAAATCTATATGGCTAAAACCCCAGCAAATTAATCAGGTTTATAACCTGATCTCAGAAATGAGAGATATTTTTTTCAGACTTTTTTTTAATATTAATATAATATTAACATTAGATGCCGATTAAATTTGTTAACAATTACTTTTCTGAATTAATATCGGCTCTTATAGAAGTAAAAAATTTTTGCAATATTAGTTTACAAATACATACAATTCACATGATACATCTAAAATACATTCCTTAAGGTTTAAACAAATATTAAGAATAAGTGTCTTATTCAGAATAAGTTATTCTTACGGCACTTAATACAATCTTTATAAAGAAATAATTTAATAATAATTTCTTATAACTCATAACTCACACTCTGTCTCTTTGTATTTCCTTCCCTTCTTTAGAATCATCTATAATGCTAAACGATCAAACAATTGAATTAAATTTTGTGCGCAACCGTTTGGAAACATTTCAAACCACCGTATTGCGTGACGTACAGAAACGTATGTCGGGCATGATAGACGAGGTCATGCAAGAACTTCGACAACATGAACTGCAAACAAATGAATTTCGTAATTTTGCTACACCACAAATGTTGCACAATCATCTTAACATATCAAACACCTGGAGTAATCGTATAAGAACTGAAACTAATAGTCCAAAATCGGTTAAAAGCACAGAAAAGGAAGTTTCCAATGAGGATGACGTTAACGTCACAAATACAACTGCTAGTGCAACTGATACAGATTCTTCTAGCAGTGGAAATAAGAGAAGATCCAAATCGAAAAAATATCATGCATTGCCTGAAAAGATATTCGTTATGCGTGAATCATTTTTGACGGCCCTCTTAGAGGTCGATCATATGAAGACAATATATCATATATTTTATATAATATTTTTGGTCTTTTTACTGAACAATATCACTTATGAGTATTTGGCTAAAGGAAGGTGAGTGTTTAGAATCATTATCAATTCTAATTCAATATTAGATCAGCTCTAGTTCTGTTCCATTTCAGTTCTAGTTTAGTTCAAGTTAATTTTAGTTCAGTTTAGATCAGTTCTAGTTCATTGCTAGTTCTCTTTTAGTTCAGTTCTTTTCCAGTTCTATTTCAGTTGTAGATCTGTTCTATTTCAGTTGTAGATCAGTTCTAGTTCAGTTCTAGTTCAGTTCTAGTTTAGTTCTGTTCTAGTTCTGGTCTAGTTCTGTTCTAGTTCTGTTCTATTCTGTTCTAGTTCTGTTCTAGTTCTGTTCTAGTTCTGTTCTAGTTCTGTTCTAGTTCTCTTCTAGTTCTGTTCTAGTTCTGTTCTAGTTCTGTTCTAGTTCTGTTCTAGTTCTGTTCTAGTTCTGTTCTAGTTCTAGTTCTGTTCTAGTTCTGTTCTAGTTCTGTTCTAGTGCTGTTCTAGTTCTGTTCTAGTTCTATTCTAGTTCTGTTCTAGTTCTGTTCTAGTCCTGTTCTAGTTCTGTTCTAGTTCTGTTCTAGTTCTGTTCTAGTTCTGTTCTAGTCCTGTTCTAATTCTGTTCTAGTTCTGTTCTAGTTCTGTTCTAGTTCTGTTCTAGTTCTGTTCTAGTTCTGTTCTAGTTCTGTTCTATTTCTGTTCTAGTTCTGTTCTAGTTCTATTCTAGTTCTATTCTAGTTCTGTTCTAGTTCTGTTCTAGTTCTGTTCTAGTTTTGTTCTAGTTTTGTTCTAGTTCTATTCTAGTTCTATTCTAGTTCTATTCTAGTTCTGTTCTAGTTCTGTTCTATTTCTGTTCTAGTTCTGTTCTAGTTCTGTTCTAGTTCTGTTCTAGTTCTGTTCTAGTTCTGTTCTAGTTCCGTTCTAGTTCTGTTCTAGTTCTGTTCTAATTCTGTTCTAGTTCTGTTCTAGTTCTGTTCTAGTTCTGTTCTAGTTCTGTTCTAGTTCTGTTCTAGTTCTGTTCTAGTTCTGTTCTAGATCTGTTCTAGTTCTGTTCTAGTTCTGTTCTAGTTCTGTTCTAGTTCTGTTCTAGTTCTGTTCTAGTTCTGTTCTAGTTCTGTTCTAGTTCTGTTCTAGTTCTAGTTCTGTTCTAGTTCTGTTCTAGTTCTGTTCTAGTTCTGTTCTAGTTCTGTTCTAGTTCTGTTCTAGTTCTGTTCTAGTTCTGTTCTAGTTCTATTCTAGTTCTGTTCTAGTTCTGTTCTAGTCCTGTTCTAGTTCTGTTCTAGTTCTGTTCTAGTTCTGTTCTAGTCCTGTTCTAGTTCTGTTCTAGTTCTGTTCTAGTTCTGTTCTAGTTCTGTTCTAGTTCTGTTCTAGTTCTATTCTAGTTCTATTCTAGTTCTGTTCTAGTTCTGTTCTAGTTCTGTTCTAGTTTTGTTCTAGTTTTGTTCTAGTTCTATTATAGTTCTATTCTAGTTCTGTTCTAGTTCTGTTCTATTTCTGTTCTAGTTCTGTTCTAGTTCTGTTCTAGTTCTGTTCTAGTTCTGTTCTAGTTCTGTTCTAGTTCTGTTCTAGTTCTGTTCTAATTCTGTTCTAGTTCTGTTCTAGTTCTGTTCTAGTTCTGTTCTAGTTCTGTTCTAGTTCTGTTCTAGATCTGTTCTAGTTCTGTTCTAGTTCTGTTCTAGTTCTGTTCTTGTTCTGTTCTAGTTCTGTTCTAGTTCAGTTCCAGTTCAGTTCTAGTTTAGTTCTGTTCTATTTCTGTTCTAGTTCTGTTCTGCTCTAGTTCAGTTCTAGTTCTGTTCTAGTTCTGTTCTAGTTCTGTTCTAGTTCTGTTCTAGGTCTGTTCTAGTTCTGTTCTAGTTCTGTTCTTGTTCTGTTCTAGTTCTGTTCTAGTTCTGTTCTAGTTCTGTTCTAGTTCTGTTCTAGTTCTGTTCTAGTTCTGTTCTTGTTCTGTTCTAGTTCTGTTCTGTTCCAGTTCTGTTCTAGTTCTGTTCTAGTTCTGTTCTGTTCCAGTTCTGTTCTAGTTCTGTTCTAGTTCTGTTCTAGTTCTGTTCTAGTTCTGTTCTAGTTCTGTTCTAGTTCTGTTCTAGTTCTGTTCTAGTTCTGTTCTAGTTCTGTTCTAGTTCTGTTCTAGTTCTGTTCTAGTTCTGTTCTAGTTCTGTTCTAGTTCTGTTCTAGTTCTGTTCTAGTTCTGTTCTAGTTCTGTTCTAGTTCTGTTCTAATTCTGTTCTAGTTCTTTTCTATTTCTATTCTAGTTCTGTTCTAGTTCATTTGCAGATTAAAAATTATCGAGTTCTAACTTTTTGTCTATTTTGTATTTTTAGCATAAGCTTTGGAATAGGTACTTTCAAAACCAGCTTTGATAAAATACATCTAGTTGCTGGTATTTGGATGCTACAACACATTTTCGTCTTCAGCATTTATTATTCCCTCAAAGGCTGGCAGCAAGTGAGAATGAAATTGGACCGACACAGTAAGTATTATACGGTAACCTATAACATATTAATACTCATAATATTTCGCTATCTTTTTAGAAAACCTTCAACATTTATGGTCCCTTTCCTGCCTATTTACCTATATAACTGCCCAATTAGTATTTGCCTATGTGCCCACAAAATTATGCCTATATTTAGATCTACCTTTCGCTACGTCTTCCGTCCTGCTGCCGGAAACTGTGAGATTATTAATGAAAATGCACTCTTTTGTGAGAAGTGTAGCGCCACGAGTTCTAGCCGGAAAATTAAAAGCTGAGGAGCAGTCAGGAACACAAATTAATTTTCCAGCATTTAACAAGTATCTGTATTATTTATTTGCTCCCACTCTATTATACCGAGATGAATATCCACGCACCTCTACGATCAGATGGAAATTTGCTTTGGCCCGTTTCTTAGAAGTGGTAGCTGTGGCCTTTCTCTATAGTTATATCCATGAACGTCATATTACCCAACATTTTGGTAATTTTGGTGTGGAAGAACTTAATGCTGCCTCCATTACTATCAAATTATTTGGCATGTTAATGCCAAGCATTATAATCTTCTTGGCTGGTTTCTATATGATTTTACATGCTTGGCTTAATTTTACGGCAGAGATAATGCGTTTTGGCGATCGTATGTTTTATAAGGACTGGTGGACTGCTAGTAATTATGAGGGCTACTATCGCAATTGGAATGTGGTGGTTCATGACTGGTTATATGAATATATCTACAAGGATTTCTAT